CCCCGACCTAAGGTGTCATTCACTCAGCGCAAGGAACGTAAGCATACCTGTGAGTCACCTCAACGAATTGCCCTTATGAAGGTTGACCCACGGATTTGGCATATCATTGTGGGCGGCCTTAGTCAGTTGGAGCTGACACGAGAGGGGTCACCATCCCATTTCCGTGAGGGTCCCCTGAGGCCCTGTTGTTCAGACTTGGGCTGAAGGAATCTTCCAACCGTCCCCTGCAATAGTCCTGTAAGGATTTTCTCCCCGCATTTGGGGTTGCAACGTCTTGCAGGCTGGGGTTGTTGCTGGCCACCTGTTGGCAATCCAGAACGGATGCCTGCAGAACATCAGTAGCCAAGAACAAGCTCAATCAGGCACAAGAGGATTCCAAGAAATCGATTGATGGCTATGCGTTTGGTTCCTTTTGGACGCCAGCCTTTTGTGCGCTTTCACCGTCAACTGCTTTGCCAAATCGATGTCCACAGCGCGCTTGGGGTCCAGGCGCGCATCGAGGCCAGGCTCCTCGCTCTGGCCTGTGCGTCAGGCTTTCAGCACAAGGGGCCAACAAGGCGCGTTTGGGCGCCCAAAGGGGCACCCTGCACATTGGAAACCATGAAATGAAGAAATCCAACAAAAGGAAGGAAGAACAAGGGAATCTACTGCTAGTGCAGGCGATTTCCGCGAGGTGATTGCAATCTGCGATCATGCGGGTGATGCCTCTCCTGCTCAGCCACCATGTCAACCCAGGTGCTACACTTCGCGTGTTCTTCCTTGTTGCTGAGGCAAACATTGTTGAAGCTGCCAATACATTTCGCCAAGCTTGCGTTCAATCTGCATAATTTGTGCATCTCTCTCTCTCTCTCTTTCTCTCTCTTTTGCTTGGATCCTCAAGATACTCCACAATGGCTGGCGTGACAGCTCCACAATGCCTGCCGTGACGGCTCGTTGGCCGCTCTGAAGCTTCACGAGACAGCGCCTCAGCACTGCCATGCGACAGCCTCTGTGAGCGGTTCACAAAACCAAGCTGGGTGTGCCTTTTGTAAGGGGACCCCCCCACACAAACAAACAAAATGTACCTACTCAGTTCAACCGCCGGCCTGCTGTGCTCCTTTGCCAGTTCAGCTAGCCACGCTTGGCGCCTCGGGTCAGCCAGCTCAGCAAGCCTGCCCACACTCCAATAGCTTGAAGCATGATAGGTCCGACTGCGTCCATATGCCTATGGTTGTTGCTCCAGGAGTTGGATGAATGCGTCAACCGCCATGCCAGAAACATGTCAAATCAAACATGGTGCTTGCAGCTCTGCAAGAAGCTATTTGGGGCAACCCCACAAAACGCTTGGCACCAAGCTTTGTTTGCCTCGAGCCCTGAACACATGTGGTATGTTATGCTCGGAGAATGCGACTTTGTATTGAAAAGAAACATAAGCGAATGAGCTACAGCTCGCCCTGTTGGTGTGAAGCAAAAGACGCTCCATTTCGCAAGTCTGCCTAGCAAACAGCTATCCTTGGTTTTCGCACTTGTTTCATCCACCTTCCTTCAGCAAGGCTTCCCATCTCCCCATAGCGCCCCCACGTCTTCTCCATAGCCTTCAGCGATGCTTGTGCCCGGATCGGCAGCGGCGAGCCTCATCTCTTCGGACACCTGTGGAACCCTCCTGGTCATGGCTCGAACGTGCACAGGGCCTGGACGCTCCATCCACTGCAAGCAGTGTTTCCGATTTGACCACAAAACTCTATACCTGTTTTGTCCACAATATGCCGGTTGACGGGGTTAACACTGCAAACTCAATGTACATGTAAGTATATTGCTCACGCTCAATGCATGAAAACTGCCTTCTGCTGCAGGAGTCAGTATTCCACCCATAGGCCACAAGAATGCGTTGGAAAGGGGTTCGCAACACCTCTGAACGTAACGCCAACACCGTGTACATAGATTGTTTCTTTCAATACTCACTCAAATTTCAGAAGTCACCAAAGCCTTGCTGCGCGAACTCAACCAGCCCTCCACCTGTTGAGCTCGTGAGTGAGAGAGAGAGAGAAAGAACACGCAAAAGTCAATGATAGACCAAACAGTCAAAAGAATGAAGACATACAAACTCTGCACGCTTCGGCCCTGGCGGGAGAACCGTTGGGTCGCCAGCCGCCTGAGGAGGAATAGGTTTCCTCGTAGGATCATTTCGCCGTGGATTTCTTTGGGGGTATATGCCTCTCCGAGCTTTCCCATAATATCGATGTGGTAAACATGTTGGTGGCTCTGCCACATTCTGAGAGCAGCGTCGAAAGATGCACACCACTCAAGCATGATCCGGGCTCAGCAACCATGCATGGATCCTACTCTGACAATTGGCAAGCTTGCGCCGACCTTGGCACGAGGCCTGAAAATCCATTCTTAAATGAAATTCAAGGACACCAAACCGGAAAAATAAATAAATCCCTTGCGCTTTGATCAACGGCACCTGTCGCCCAGGCGGTGCGGCAGGCCCGCCAGGCGCGCCAGGCCAGTGGCGCAAGCCATCCGGGTTCCAGTGTTTTCGCACGAGGGAACTGCAGAAAAGCGGAAGTGTCCAAAGGGGAGAAAACGGAAAGAAACCGTTTTTGTTCCCTGTCCCTTTGACTTGGGCGCAGTTGCACTTCTGGTGTTGAATGCGAATTCCTTACGTTTGAGGTGTCGTTGACGACTCCCCACTGAGAGCCACGGCTGCGAAATGTGATTGTCCCCTTCTGAAGCAACTGGCTGATCACATCCATTCCTTGTTCGTTGTCAGAAGCGCAATTCAAAACTCTGAAACTCAGACCGCAACGTAGCTCTCAGCATGCACAAACCAGATATGGTTGCTCTCGTACATGCTGACTTTCTAACGCGAGGCGTGCCTGAAATCCGGCTGGGCTCACCTTTTGGCGTTCGCCTTTCATTTTCCCAAAAAAAAACTGTCAAGTACAAATGTACGGCTCAACCGCTTTGCAAGTCAATAAAGCTTCATGTTTCTTTAAGCCCCGACCTTGCTCTTGTTCTGTCATTGTAAAGGAGCTATTGGGCAAGGGCGGAGGTTGCGGCAGCGCACTGAGAAAACGGCCATGATGGATTTTAAGTGGCGACAGGGTCGTTCTTAGATCAACTTGGATCCTTCATACAAAGTTTTACCACTTTCATCAAGGGCCAAAGGCTTGGAGAGCCGCAAAGCATGCCTTTGATTTTGCCCCGCACGAGCACGCTATTGAGGTATAGAATGGCTTCTTGGGACATCGGCTGACTGCGACAATCGGAACAGCTTTCGCAATCCCTGCGGAGCAATCCAGCAACCGTGGTCCGGCGAAGGCCCTCCCCTGCACAAGGTCGAACTGCACAAGGTCGAACTCCCTACCATGCACGCTCGTCAAATTGACTGTACATAGTCATTCTGTACGGGCATGCCTGTTTCGTGGCTCCGACTCATCAATCACGCATGTCCTATTTCATGTTCTGCGCACACGGTAATAGCTGTTCAATTTGACCCTTGTTTAAGAGAAGCATGTGGAACCCATGCCATAGACTTTCGAGAAGTTGTCACCTTTGTCCAATATATGGGTGCGCAACGTGGCAACTTGGGTAGGAATTCTCTATGATCCCACTCCACTCATGCCTGGAATAGTACTGACCTATTTTCCTACAGCAACAAGTGACCGCAAGTGACCGAATGTCCAAATAAGCCTGGCAATGGGCCTACAAATTAAAACATTATATATTCTAAAATAAATAAAACCCAATTTAATCAATTAATAATTTAATTAAATTCTCAAATAGTTGAATATGTTTATTAGTAGATACAAAATACACATTTATATGTTTTTTTTTTTTTAAAGATTTGTTTTCGATATATATGTTTGACTCAAAAAACGATTTTGAATATCGATAATATTTAGATAATCATAGACTATACTATATATTTTAATTGTATAAAATAAGAATGGAACTAAGTATTCTCCCCAAAAAATGGTTTAAACAATGCAATATAAACGTTACGTTCTATTTTAATCAGCTCCACCACGAGCCATGCCCCACGCTAGTCGCGATCCACAGGCGCCACAGACACCCACAGCCCAAGGTTGGTCAGGCGCTCGTGATATTCCTCGGCGGCCTGGCGTAATAGCCCAGCAACGCTGGAAACACGTGACTGGCAAAGAAGTGTGCCTTCACTATTTGTAGAAGAAGAAATAAATGGTCCTGTAGGTCCAAAAGTAGTGTTGAGCCAAAGGGAGCATAGAACTGTTTCACAGCTAAGGTCAGTATTGTTTGAGCGGACACTATACAACAAGTGCGGTCATGTTTGTCTGTTGGAAACCCCGCCTTCACAAAGAGAAACAAGCCCACGATAACTTGAGTGTGTGTGTCTGTGCATTCGCAGAAACGTTGAGCCACGAGCGAGCCGACCCTTGAAACCTTAGCTCTTAAGGATCGATGATAAAACATAAGTAGTCAGCCCGCCCTTTGCGGAGCTCTGCTGGTCTGCTGGCTGGCTGGCTGGCTTGCCTGCCTTTCCGCTCGCGTGCTTGTTTGGTTGTCTGTCTGCTTGCCAGAACAGTGGCCGCTTCTTTAAAGCTGCTTGGCCCTCACTTCATGCTGCGTGATGCAAGGCTGTGCCATACTTCCTTATCTCTCGCTCGTCCACTCAACTGTAAGCATCGCTGCGATGCCTTCTTGAAGGAGTTGATGACCTTGGGCGGCAAAGGTGGGAATGTGTCAATCTCCAGTTTGTGTTTTAAAACCCGGCAGTCCAGGCAGATGAAACACTGCTCATGTCACTGCCCCACTTCGACACAGAACAATCGCTGGAAACCAGGCTAAAACCAAGTTGCTTGAATACCCCGTGTTGCCTTGGGGCTAGTCCGCGCAGCAAAATGAGCTCTTGGTGCTGGACTACGGCAGTCCCAACTGGGTTTGCCATGGCGCTCTCCTCAGCACGCGAGCAACTGGAACCCGATTACCCTGATAAATGTATGTCTGGGCCAACATCGGTCCGTTTCCTTGAGGATGCAGAACATTTGGGTTGAATGATACCAATACTTTACTAAACGTTCGGTCTTAAATGTTTTACACCACCAGCCGTTGACATGAGCGGCAGGCATAGCAATTCCATGATGAGGAATTGTTAAAATCTATCCAAACCGTGGACTGCTGGCAGCCGATTTTGCAACTGACTTACTATTTGAGTCGCCCAAATGAAGGCAGTCTGCTGAACGGGCACAACCTTCCACTAAGGTTGCACTGCGAACAACATGCACAAAAAAAAAAAAAAAAACGACACGGGTGACGATGAACCACCCCATGGTCCAATCCCTGGAATGCCGCATCAATGACACCTCGCCCATCCAGATGCATGATATTCTTAGTTGTTGGTTTAACGCTCCAGCATGTTGTTCGCTTTTCCCAATGGCAATAGACTGTGAAGCCTTCACTGATGATATCAACATGCTCTGCTATGGGGCGGGGGAAACAGACAGACAGACAGAGACAGACAGAGAGACAGAGAGACAGAGAGACAGAGAGACAGAGAGACAGAGAGACAGAGAGACAGAGAGACAGAGAGACAGAGAGACAGAGAGACAGAGAGACAGAGAGACAGAGAGACAGAGAGAGAGACAGAGAGACAGAGAGACAGAGAGACAGAGAGACAGAGAGACAGAGAGACAGAGAGACAGAGAGACAGAGAGACAGAGAGACAGAGAGACACAGGCAGGCAGACAGACAGACAGACAAACAGACAGACAAAGCAAAGCAAAGCAAAGCAAAGCAAAGCACACCCTTTGTCTGGCCCCACGTTGCCTCTTTCGTGCGGTTTATGTTGAGAGGCTACCGGGTCTCCCTGCAAACAACCGGCTGGACACCTCGTAGGCTTTGCCCCTTGTCAGCAGGGGCACGCCCTCCGACAGCACCTCCAAATGACTCTTCGAAAGGGCGGCGAAACCCCTGGGAAACGAACGGCCCTGAAAGATTCGCGGCCACAACAAATCAATCCGACACGCTTCAGTGTCCAATTGCCTGCGTTTTGGGCTCAGAGGCAAATCCCACGAAGGTGCATGGTGACTCAGGGTATGAAGTGATTGAAACACACATGTTGCACATAGAAGGCAGCAACGCAACAGACTTCCATGTTTGCCGCCATGTGTTCCAATGGCAGAGGGTCCAAAAACATGATCCGGGAAACTTGAGCTTAAGCGCCGTGGCAACCAGAAGGCTCAAACACAGTGCGCACTCCCAACTTGCAAAGCTGGCGAAACGTGCACTGCTGACTCAGGACTCACTTGTGAATATCTTGGCAAACAAAATCACCCCAAAACTGCCAGCCTCCGCGTACTGCTCAAGCGTCAATGCGCACTTTCCGTCCTTGCTGCGTGAATTGGATCGTTGGCGGCTGGCTGCGCACGACGCCATTCAAAAGAGAAGAACCTCCAAATCCAAGCTTCATGTTGATTCCTTCTTACGAGCATCTGAAACTTGAAAAGGACCCTAATTTTGACACATGTGTGTGTGTGTGTGTTCAAAGGAGAAAACGAATTTGGCGTCCCCAACATGTGTGCTAGCGAGAATTGAGAACGAAAAAGCATCAACATACTGCCGTCTGTACATGAATAAGACTCTATATAAATGTGTTAAGAACACACCCGACGTCAGGCTTTTCTTGACCATCCGTTAAAACGAAAGCACTGGCCTTTCAAACCCATTTCTCCGGACGGTCCTTGGATCTGATCCCCGCTCCGGGTTCAACACCATCCTGGCCGGGCAAATGACCAAGACGAAGACCTGAAGTTTGACTTATTTGGCTATGGGTCAAAATTCAACCAGGGGACCGCAGGTTTTAGACCGCAGGTTTCCATTTACTTTCATTTTGAGTACCAATTTTTGACCCGCACCCATTGGGGAGGGTGAAGCATGCTTCCCTCAAGAATTACCATAGCGATTGTTCATCCCCCAAAGAAAGCAAAAATTACCAGCATAGATCCCAGATAGCGAAAAACATGCACCTGCACCCCCACACTGAATGCCCGAACAGCAGCCCAAACAGCACCCTGCTGTCAATATCGCAAAAAAAAACGCCCCCGCTGTCACCAGCACCCAACACAGCACCCGCCTGCCAAACTACATCCCCTCGCACCCGGCCGCCAATCTTGCAACAATGCGCCAGCGCCTCAAACAGCACCTGGACCAGCACCCCAAGCTGCATGCCCCCTAGCACCCGCCCGTCAATCTCGCAATAATGCGCCCGCACTGTCACCAGCACCCCAAAAGAGCACTCGCACCAGCACCCCAATCTGCATGGCCCCTTCCCCTCTTTATTAGAAGTTAGTACCCCACAGCCTTCAGCTATCTGAAGAGAAAAGCAAGGGATCTGTCTTTGGTGGCTCATCCATGTCGCAGTGGGCAAAAAACTCCCGCCACTATTGGTGAGGGGATGGTTCGATGGTGTTTCCGAACTTATAACCCTTACTGAAGGCGTTGGGAACGATGGTGTACGTACATGCAGACCAAACGCAACTTGGCAATTCATCCAGCAAGTGCGGCCTTGAGACAAGTGCAAATCACCCGGCGCAGTCCGGGAATCTTGCACCACCTGGGCTGCGGGAAGGGGGGAAGAAGCTGTCTACCCAGACCCGGTGGGCGTAGACCTGTTTGCTTGGTCATGTCAAATGTGCGGGGAACCAAGTGCAACTGAACAACTGGGCTCTAGCTGGTCTCTTCAGCATTAAGAACGCCGCGGCATCTTGCAATTCCTAATGGGCGCGTGCACCAGAACCACCCACATGTCCTGCGTGTCTGCCAGCGCGCCGACCCTTGAAACAGGCAGGCAGGCAGGCAAGCCTATTTACCACGAAGTCGTGCGCATTTGCCATGCTCATGCAGGCTTTGATCTCAGTCCCTGGAGGTCTTGGTCTCATCTTCCGCCTCAACCTTCTTTCCTGCCGAGTCTGGCAACTTCGTAGGACAAAGCTCAAACTTGGCCACCAGCAAGGCAACAGACTGGGGCGCACCTTCAAACACTCAAACCATGGCCGACGAAAAAGATAGTAACCGAGCAACTTTGACAAGTGGCAACTGGCATCTCCGTCCTGTCTTCTTCTTCACTACAATGTCTAGGTCCAGGTCTGTGGCAGTAGCTGCCTCGACTGGTAATCGCAAAGCCGATGCTTTCAGATTGTATTTCATAGATCTGCCAAGGACACCCGCAGGCTTAACACTTTGAATATGTTCAGTGTTGTTTCAAGGCAAACCAATGGTAAAACCATCATTTTCGGGGCGTCCCCTTAAAAAAGACACACACACACACACAGTATCATCTTGTGCAGCAGCTCCAGGCCTGGCGCCCTGTACCTGCGATCAGAGAGCCAGGCCGGCCGAGTTCCTTCGCACTTCCGGAGAGCACTTGGAGGAAGCCAGCCCATCCCATTGTCGCCCTGCAAACAAATAGGAAGCCAAGGCATTGAAAAGATTCTCGCCCCACTGAGTTTCTTGAAAACCAGGCCTGGCAAGCATCCGGCCTGGGCAAACCTTGATAGCGACAAAGAACGTTTAGCACACCAGGGAAATCGCCCTGGCCGATTTCTTACAGAGCGCAATCCGACGGAGCCGGCGCACGGCCCGGGGCCCGATTCCGGGCCCTTGGCGCGGCAAGCACCAGAGCTGCCAGAGCTGCCAGGCCGGCCCTGCTGCGGAACGGGGGTCCATGTTAGCAACCGTTTCGTTTCAGGTCTCAAATATTCCCTTCGGCCCCCAAATGACCATGGGTAACTTGTCGCATGTGGGAAAAGTTCACCTTTCAGTGGTGTTCCAACCAACGGTCATCCCATAGGACCCTTTGATCAACCCCCAAGTAGGGTCATGGCGGGTTGCCCTTTAAATCCTTTTGGCCCGTCATTGGAAGCTCCAGGTCCAAAAACATGCCGCTGGTCCATATAGCTTGGCAGGGAGCTGACTCCTGTATAAACATGATAAGCCACTGTTGCTGCCCCCATTGCTTCCAGACTGATCCTCTCGGCCCAGCATTCGTTGCTGCGCTCAAGTACGACAACTCCTTCACAAGGAAAAAAAGGTAAAACATATGAAAGAAAACTCACTAACAATTCCAAATGAGTCTCCTTAGCCTCAATCAACCATAGGTTCAGGACGGCCGTTCCATCCTGATCATCTGCCGCTCAACTTGAACCCCGTCTGCCCGTCTGCCTGCATCCCGAGGCTGTGCTCCTCGCAACAAGATTCGTGCTTCAGCTGTGGTGACCGGATGGCTCAAGCCATAGTTGGGGGCCATACACCGCGCCCTTGGGTGGTGGTGCTGGTGGTGGTGCTGGTGGTGGTGCTGGTGGTGGTGCTGGTGGTGGTGCTGGTGGTGGTGGTGGTGGTGGTGGTGGTGGTGGTGGTGGTGGTGGTGGTGGTGGTGGTGGTGGTGGTGGTGGTGGTGGTGGTGGTGGTGGTGGTGGTGGTGGTGGTGGTCGTGGTGGTGGCCGGTGGTGGTGCGGGAAAGGAACAAGTTTGCTTGTTCAAGCGGATCAGCAGATCAGTGAATAATCATATCTGTGAGGAAACTCCCAGGCAAGAGCTATTCTGGGTCTTTCATGGTACCTGCAAAGACCAAATCTTGTTTCGATACGTCGCCCAAGTTGTTCATTTCTCACACAGGTCGCCCCACGCCTCGTGACTGCCACGGGCTGGGAGCTTGCAGCCAGACCTCGGCCTCGGGCGCGGCTCGGGGAGAACGCGCGGGACTTTTCCACACGCCCCGTGTCTACACTGCACGGAGTAACAAGCACCTCCTGACTTCCTTCGGATCAGCCAGTCAAAGGGGAGCTGCTAGTTACAAGTCAAGCTTGGCTATCAAACCAGAAAATAGATGTTTGCGCAGTGAGCAGATCACTTCCAACAGCATCATCAGAGACCTCGTAGAGCAGAGGAAACTCATGTCTGTGCATGGATGGGTGCCTGCCTGCCTGCCTGCCTGCCTGCCTGCCTGCCTGCCTGCCTGCCTGCCTGCCTGCGCCTGCCTGCG